AAAATATTAGTACCACTAGAAGTGTCTGGAAATAAATAACCAAATATCTAAGGGAAAAATAAGAAAAGACATGTACAGACAGTTTGCAAAAAAACATATGAAGTGATACAAACGTGTAAAGATGTTCAACTTCATTCAAAATAAGACAAATGCAAGCCAAAACTATGCTAAGTCAATACTGAGATACTTTTCACTTATCAGATTGGCATGAGTTCATAGCTTGACAGCAACTTCTCTCCTGTTTTGCCAGTGGAAATGCAAAATGAGACAAACCCACCCCATAGAGAAGAACTTAGCAAAAGCTACCAGAACTGCATATTCATTTACCCTTGGATCAAGCAATCTCATTTCTAGGAATTTATCTCAAAGATTCATCTTCCCAAATCCAAAGCAACATATGCACAGTTATCCACTATGGAATAAATAAATAAATAAATAAATAAATAAAATACAAGATATAAAGTGATACTTAGCAGAAGGTATAGAGAAACTGCTCTGGGCATCTGAGGCAGAGGTGAATTCTTCCAGGCAAAGGAATCAGGGAAAATGCTATAGTAAAACTGACATTCAAACTGAGCCTTAAATCATGGGTAGAGCATGGGCATGAGATGAGCCCAAGAAGGAAGGGAATGTCGAAAGGGAAGGGTGGGCAGAAGGAGCAGCATGGAGATGGGAAGTAAGTTGATTTTCACAACTTGTATTGTGACTGATTGGCCAGATGATAAAGCCCAGAATGCCAGAATGAAGTATGTAGACTTCATTGGGTAGATAGTAATATCTAATTAACAGACAATAGGTGTGGTGAAACCCAGGCTTCCACTGTGTATGACATGAATTGGGCATGAAGCTTGCAGGTGAGAAATCTTCAGGGGAAAGGTAGTTCAGAGATACCACAAAGATAGAATTATGAGGATTTAGCAACTGTCTTTGGGACTTCAAGATGTCTTCCCTTCCCTTTCTGCAAAACACATTCTTCTGTGATCTTGGGGTGGAGAAGGGACAAGAAAAGCTTATTTTGTACCTCACGCTGTAAACCTTCACTTCATGGTATAAATTAATAACTTCCTACCTTTCCTCCCTAACCTCCTGTGTTTAATTTTCTGTCCTTACCACTTTGCTAGAACTTTCTTAAACATCAACGTTCACTTCCTTTTAGCCAAAAGTCTGATATTTACTCACACTTCATCTGCTCTTTTGTCTGCAGTGTTGATTATTAAGTCATTCTTTCACTCCCTCATGCATTCAAAAGTATCTCTGGAGCTTTGAGCCAGACACTGTCAAAGGTACTAAAATGGATCAGAAATGATTCCTGCCAGTATAAAAGTAATATCCTCTTAAAGAAACAGACACAAAGGTAATTAGGATGCAGCCTACTAAACATTAGATACATAGTGCCATGGGACCCCAGAGGCCTGAACCACTAGCCCTGCCTACAGGGTCAAGGAAGCTTGCACAAGAAAGGCAGTTGTTTGAGTGATCTCATGGAGAATGGAAAGGAGCCCAAGAAGCAGAGAAGTGGCAGGAAGATCAAGTTAGTTTAGGAAAACCAAGGGATAGGAGAGGGAGTGTATTCAGTGCTGCTGAAGCATATGGCATCGGGGGCAGAATCGATGGAAAGGGCATTGCATGCCTTGCTCCATGAGCACCTTGCTTCTCTAGAGAGCAGTGGGGAAGCACCGAAGGGTTTCAAGCCTGGGATGACAATGTCAGGTCTTGTAAAATTTCATTTGTGGCAGATGAGATGGATGGGGGACA